TCCCCATCAAATTTTGCTGCTAACAAGTTGAAAGTCTGGTACCATATCACGTATCAAGAATAAGCGCTGTTGACCTAGAACATGCTTTTTGAAGGTATAATTGAATTGAAACCATGCCAGCTGTTTTTGGTTTGATCATGAGGGACCCGTAACGAGGTATCTCTAGGAATCCACTTATTAGCTATTTCGTGTCTAGTCGCGTCTATCGCAGGACGCCTTGTGTTTCGTGACCCATTGCAGAAGATCAGGCGCACCACTTTTTTTTTTTTTTTTTTTTCCATTTTGGAGCGACAACTCACCGACTCTAAGACAAAAACACCCCCCAATCACACATTACAGCAGTACGACCACAACGGAGTAATATCTATTCTCGGCATCAATGATCATGGAGATGAGCATATTTTGTTGGTAACCAATTAAATGTTTGATCTTTTGTCTCCGAGTGATTATATCTGGCGATTGCTTCCCCCAACAATACACCTACCACCATCCCAACTGCTCTCACATTGATCTAGCCTAGTCCCCTTTTGCAAAAATGGCAGAAAAAGTGGTATAAAGCGAGGTGATTCAATCGTGTCAAACTATTCAACTTGAATTTACTCACTTTACATAGCCAAATCCATTACGGCTACTTTTCCAGGGTAGTTAGTTTACAGGATCAGGTACAGCGTCTACTGAGATTCTAGTTGCACGGTGAGGCGTCCGATTACAAAATCCACATGTGTCACGGTGGGCTGAAACCGCATCGAATACCCAATCATTGGGGAAGAATGCCAACAGCTCTGTTTGAAATAATCCTGACTGGAAAATCCCCTTGTCTATCAGTGAGTTCATAGCCATGTTTGCTCGCTTGTGCATCCCCGATTCATCCTTTTTGGGGGGTTGAAACCGCCTCGGGGCTGTTTTGCGGCAGTGCATATGCAGCTACTCCTGATTTCACTGTTTATGGAAATTGAAGGAACCGTCCATGGCAGGAGCTGATCCATTCGCCTATTTTGCCTCCCGGCGCTCCACAATACTATAATACTACAAATAAGCACCTATGGGAATACTCTAATCCTGTGGTCACCAGCGCAACCCTTCTTTCATATCACTGCACCACGCAGTGCATTGACATGTTTCTTTATGTTTCAATCTTATGTTCGGTCAGAATCCGACTCGGCATCCAATCAAGAGGTACCCCTGGTTCCTGCTGTCCTTCATAATTCTCGATGTGGCAAGGCAAACATATCATCTTTCTACGGCGAATTCTATCTTGCCAGGCATTTCTGTGCTGTGAACACGAATAATTTGGAGATGGCATTGATCTTCAGTCAAGAGTACACATCCATACAAACCCATCAACCCCACACACCCTGGACTTATTAGTAAGAATTTACAATGCTTATGAAAGATTCATCGCGTTCAAGTCCAAATATACGATAATATAACCTGAATCTCAACATCGAACATATTATAAAGCCGCGTGCTAAAATTCTCCCTATGGCTGGTCCGCCCGTTCCGAGCTAGAAAGCGGGGATGCTTGGAAAATGGCCTAGGGATGCATACTCAAAGAAGAAAGCGCTATTGGCGGTCGAATCTAGGCATGTAATCGGCCGTGTGAATCGTGTGATGTGACAGCATTTCAAGGCTGGTGATAAGTTTCTTCATAGGTAGTATTCGTAATAGTAGTAGTTAGTACTAGTAGTAGAAACCGGAAAGCTCACTCTGTTGGCAAGCAGAAATATATAGTAATTTGAATATAGGATCAAGGAGACACATCATAGAACGGTGACAATAGTATTAAAACGATCAAGTATAGCCCTATGCCATATAACTATACATAACGAAGGAGGCCAAAGGGAACAAACCAATATTCGGAGAAGAAAGATGCTCATGGAATTGGTCTGCCGTTTTCTATGCCGAAGAGGTAAGGCACCAAATTTACAACTCAAAAATCCTTGGCTTTCGCGCAACTTCCGCCCGACGAATTCCCCCCCGAAACACTATCGTCGAATCCGAGCAGAAAAAGAAAAAAAAGGAAAAACCCTAAAAGAACAGGGAAAACAACACAAGAAAAAACCAGAAAAAGCAAATAATAAGAGACTGTCTTTGGATGCGTCCTTACTATTCAACTTTTTTTAAAATTATCTTTCTTTTCTATTAAATCCAGCCACGTCAAGGATAGGACAAAGAAAGTTTCCGGTCCTTGCCTGGTTTGATGTCAATATCTTTTCGCCAACAGTCGACAGCCTATAGGACGAAATTAACAAACATTTCCCCGGGGCGATAACTACGTAAAACAGTAGAGCCCTTTCTCTTGGCGTGGGTTTTGACCAAGCTGAGGCTGAGACCTTTTGACACGTTAATTGGAGAGCTGGCAGTTTGCCCTAAGACGCGGAGCGTTACTAGTTGGATCACTCCTACTCAATCATGCATACCCTCAGCGCTACAGCATCTTCCTCGCTCTCGCTTGGACAGGATAATTATATCTATTCCATTGCCGCAGCATCTCCAAACTCATTCGCTGCCATCTCTTCGGATGACTCGCTGCGTGTGTTCGATGCGGCTGGTCTAGGCCATGTATCTGTGGCTGCAGCTGACGCTCACAAGGGAGTCACATCGTTGAAGTCATATGATGTGGGTCAGCAGTTGATTGCTACAGGTGGAAGAGATGGACATGTGAAGCTTTGGGATCTGCGGAATGGCAAGAAGTCGGCAGTTGTAGAGGTGGAGACATGTAGGTTTCCTTGCTTCTTCTTTTCACCCTTGTTTTCTTGTTTTCTTCTCTGTCTTTCGCCCCCTTTTCTGCATTCTTGACTTGTCCCCACATGTACTCTGTTGCGTCAGATTTACTCTCTGGGAATTAGATATTCTTTTGTGTTGTTCATCAACCGTGAGCTTATTATGCATGTGTATACATGTACAACCGTTCATTGCTGACATTCTGTCATTCATCAGCGAGAGATGCGCCCGTACTTTCTGTAGCCTGCTGTCCTGAGACGAATACTCTGGCGGCAGGTACTGAACTTGTTTCTTCCCAGGCTATTGTTACTTTTTGGTAAGTACGTCCCACCTATATGTGGGTAGCCAAACAAACCTTGGCTTTACCTGGCGAGGGAATCCTTTGGCACTTTTGGCCTCGCAAAAGACTAATTGACACGGCAGGGATGTCAGATCACCTAGTCACCCCCAGCTTCAGTATGTCGAAAGCCACAATGATGATGTAACTGAGGTGAGTCTTCACACCTTGTGCCTTGTGCCTCTCCGGGGCGAATGCTGACGATATTCAGCTCCAATTTCATCCAACTCGTCATAACGTCTTGTTATCCGGAAGTACAGACGGCCTGGTCAACATCTATAACACCACCATAACCGACGAAGATGAAGCCCTCGTACAGGTCATCAACCATGGCTCCGTGCACCATGCCGGTTTCCTTAGCGAAAGGGCCATCTACGCTCTTAGCCATGATGAGGTGTTCTCAATCCATCCGGCTACAGACCCGGATGAGGAAGGCGAGGCGCCCAATCCTGTGCAGTTCGGTGACCTGAGACAACCGCTCAACTGCGAGTATATTGCGCAGTTGTGCGTTGGTAGCCAGGGGCCCTATATCGCTGCTGGAAACAAGATGTAAGATCCCGCTCCCCGTCTCTGCTACATCTCTCATGCGTTAATTTTATATAGGGAGAATCAATTGGATTTGATTCCGCTCACCCCCAACCCGTCTTGGCAATTTGACCAAGACAATCTCTGGCGACTCCCCGGTGCCCACGGCGAGGAGGTTGTGCGTTCAGTCTATCTAGATGAACAGGTACGTCTACGCCCAAGCGGGAACCGCCAATGTATCGACCGGTAACTAACAGTTTCGATTCTTAGTCTCAATCCGTATTCACCTGCGGCGAGGATGGGTTTGTTCGCGCCTGGAAACCCGAATCGGGTGAGATACCGGCAGACGAGAGCAAGACCTCCCGACCAAAGAGGAACAAGGACAGAGGCCGCTTCAAGCCCTACTAGATATGATGTCTCTATATCCAACGACCGTTATTACCCACCTGTTTGGTGGTCCGCTCCGATACAAATGGTAAAAAATAAAAAATACGTAACCTCCGAAAATATTGTTGGTGTGCATTTTTAGCGTCATCTTTGCTCGTAATGCGCGCGCTACGGTTTTACGCTCGTATTTCAACCCATTTCCGCCAGTTTGGATCTACTAGAAAGAAACATTCAGCAATAGTGGAGCTGGTCTATGGAGCCAGCCGACCGGTTCAGCGGTATACACGTCGCATGGGAAGCGGGCTTAGCCTCGGAAACAAGTCTTATGAGGGAATAGTTTCAACCTTCCTTCTACATACGTAATTCTTTGCCTTTTTCCCATCCATATACTCCGTCCATTCAAACATCTCCATACAGACTCCATCTATTTATAACCGTTCACAAATCCTTCACCTACGTAAATCCAACACAACAAATCTTACTCCTCCCCACCACTCCTACGTCAACCATCGTTTCCTTATCAATTTGCCACTATCCAACTCCATAACAATATACTACCTAAGAGGAGAGAAAAAAAAAAGCCCCCCTAACTAGGTAGATAGTCCCCAAGACCAAGTAAAATAAATTAAATCAAGTACAACGTACCAACCAGCTCCCGCTACAAGAATGAACAGCGAAGATCGATCGCGGGAAAACTAACCATTTTAGCAATAATTCCTGAATATCAACGCTCAGGCCCCATCGCGATGTTACTTGCAACTTGGGAGAACGTGGGGGCCAGGCTGGGTGATATTTGTTGTTAATATATATTGGGTCGTGGAGTGTACTACCTAGTACCTAAGTTAGGTGTTCAAGTCGGAAGTATTGAACCGAGGTAAGGTTCACCGTTCAGTTCAGTATTATTATGGAGTATTGTTTGAGTAGATGATTAACTTGAAATAAAATAAAACAAAATTAAAAGAAGCAGGGAATATGATATCAAAGTACAAAGCACTAAGTGGTATATATATATGGTTAGAAAAAAAAGTAGTCGCGCCCGGGATCGAACCGGGAACCATCTCGGAACTACCGAAGTAGCCTGAGCTCACTTTGTGAACGAGATATCATAACCATTAGACCACGCGACTTGTTGGTTGAATTTCCTTTTCAGGTTGAGACCTAAGTAGGGCAGAGCCAATTGGTTCCTGGAACCTTATCGGCGTAAGGAAGGATTTTTTTTTTTTTAATTCTCTCGGATCTTCCTCTTTCATTCTACTTTCGAGGTATTCTTATCTTTCTCGTTTTTTGTTATTTTTTCTCTACTTCTTAATTATTGTATCTTCTGGGGCTTGGATTTGTTTATTTTTATTTGCCTGGATATTTTCCGCTAGGAGTTATGCCCCGGTAAATCCTTTCGTCGCTCTTTTTTATACCCACCTGTTTTCGACTGAGAAAAATCGGATATCGCAACTCACCACCAACACCGAGTGAACTAAGAACATCGCGAGTCGATCCCAAACCTCAACGAGTATAGAAATATATACAATGGACGCCCAAGCCTACCTAATCCGTCACGGCTGGTCCGGTCCCGGCAATCCACTCAACCCTAATCGTCGACCAGGCACACACGGCGGCCTGGGACTCACAAGGCCGATTTTGGTCGCGCGCCGCCAGGGGAACCAAGGCGTGGGCAAGGTGACCACCAAGGACCCGACGAATCAGTGGTGGCTGCGCGGGTTCGAGGATGCGCTGAAGGGCGTTGGAGACGAGAACAACACCGGCACTACCGGGGCGAAGAAGCCGAATGCGTTGACGAGCGAGCTGTATCGGTTCTTTGTTCGAGGCGAGGTTGTTCCGGGTACCCTTGGGGATAAGAAGAAGACCGAGGAGGCGCAGGAATCCTCGTCTAAAAAGCGGAAGAAGGACGACGAGGACGACGAAAAGGAGGCGAAGAAGTTGCGGAAGGAGGAGCGCAAGCGGAAGAAATTAGGCAGGGAGGCGCAGGCGGAAGAGTCTACTGCTTCGCGGACTGATTCCAAGGAGAGCAAGGAAGAGAGACGGCAGAGGAAAGAAGAGAAGAGAAGGCGGAAGGAAGAGAAGGAGAAGAGGAGGGCTGAGAGGCGTGCTAGGGCCGAGGAAAAAGCTGCTCGCAAGAAGAATAAGGAGAAGAAAGACCACAATCCGGAGGAGGATTATCCTACACCTGTGTCGATCGATAACGATCAGACAGAGTCTAGTGGACGTGACGAATCTTCAGATTCGGTAGAGTCGACGAAGAAGAAGGAGAAAAAGGAGAAGAAAGATAAGAAGGAGAAAGCAAAGGACAAGGAGAGCAAGAAGAGAAAGAAGGGCGAGGAATCCACTTCTGAGGATGGATCCAAGTCCAAATCGAAAAAGTCCAAAAAGTCAAGCAAAGACTGAACCAGTGAGCAATCTGCAATTTTCAAAGAGATCATTGTTTGGCGACGGCCGTATATAGATAGATACCCATTTGATGCAGCTACTGCAGTCCTTATATAGATCAAAAGTTTCAATTTATTTTCCATAACCATTTTCATAACATGCTTAAGCTTCAGTGGGCAATTTCCCAGGTTTCCCAGAAAGGATCCACGGCCTCCTGTCCCAGAACTCATCCTTGATGATGTCAACATGGTCGACGACGACCTGGGCCTTTCGACGTAATTTACGAAATTTTTCCTGTTGCGACTTGGATGTCGTCTCCTGCATGTAATTACCCTCATCGGGTGTTACTGACTTCGACTTGACGTCGTCCAGTTGGTACTGTACGCACGTGAGTAAATGACTTGAGACGTAACAATCAAAGGGTATCAATGACTTACCTGCCGGTAAATGACACTCCCCTTCTTATAAATCTCTTCCTCATTGTTATAGTTGATTCCAAACCTCTTGAAGAGAATCTCGTTCTTGTCGGACGACACCGTGCCCTGGAAAAGGAATCCGTCATAAATATACTCGTGAGTGATAAAGAAGTAAAGCAGATCCACTCACCTTCAACTCCAGTTCAGCATCTGTATTGCTCATCCCACCCTGCAGGACCATCGTCCAGAATGTCATATTATAAAGATTATTGATATGGCCTGTTGACATCAGCCATGCTCTCAGAGAAATTAACAAGGTGAACTTACAATCGACCTGTCTCCAGCTCATATAATCGCGCAAGTTCTTGATACACGGATACGTGACGGCTCTCCCATCAAATGAGGGCAAGTACGGAGGCTGGAGAGGTGTATCGGGGAAGTATGTCCCCCAGAGAAAGACATAATGGGCTGTGAATGTGGATGCGATCGTTGTCGCTAGCTTACTGCCATGGTATTCAGCCTTACAGTTCCAACTTCAGATGAGCAAAAGACCTCAACTTACGCACTGCGCCTTTCGAACAATTGGCAGCTGGGATGAAAGACGAAGCTGATTTGAGTTAGTTACATATAGTTTGATTAAGGCCCAAGGGAGACGAACCTGTATTCATCGCTGACTCCATATGCGATGCATAGATCAGAAAGGTCCTTCATAACCTCCACAGCTGCAGCATTCATCAAATCAAGTGCGCGACGATCATTGGGCTTCTTGAACTGATAGCGATCGGTGAGTCTTTCCAGGTCAGCGACAGAGTTACAGACATGGCTCAGGAAAATATATAGATAAAAGCCTCAGATAAAAGTTCCATATCTCTCCCTTACTTGTCACCGGGTACCGGAGAAAATGGAGGATAATGTACAGAAATGGACAGGATTTACTGACTTGTGGAAACCTCTGCCGTCGATGCGGACCACAATCCAGGTATTGGGGAGCAGAACGTCTGGCTGCTCAAACGCCTTTACATATTCGTATCTAGATCGGGCATTAGCTACCACACTAACACAGAACAGTAAAGACACAAGGATTTATTCAAGAAATACTTCGAGTTTGCCATTTCGATGATTCAATCTACAGTTGCCTGTATGCACACTATACAGGGAAAAAAGAAGGCCGACAATGAGGTGTTGGGGTTGTGCGGGAACCGCCTTAACCGACGTCCACTACAAAACACTGGATTCAAGACAACAGAAAGGGTTGAACAACCGTACGGCATTTCTGGCACAAGGGTAAGGGCCTCCTTATTCCTCCATGATTTAAATGAAATCAAAACCAATACTTTACTGGTAACAGCAACTACTAGATAACTAGACACCAAAACCTTATAAAGAACGGACGAGCAATATCATGATATAAATTGACTAGTAGTACTGCAACTGTTCTATCACGATGAAAAGACCAAGCCTTATTCACGCTACCCAAGAAAGAATATATTAACCATGGCTTATATAAGAAGAAATCGAGAAATAAAATGCTTAGGAATGCAATGGTTAAAAAAACATCCTGCCGCTAATAGTCTAGATGATCTATAAACTGAAAGCACCAAGGCAGGGGTACAAATCATGTTAATAGGGGGTGTCACGATGTGTGAGTTTCATCTATAGTGTCTTCACCTGTCTCACTGGCTTGTTCACTTGGACGCTCGCTGGTCTCGCTAGCTGCTCTATCCGATTTCCTAGACTTGCGACTGAAGAAACCTAAACTGCTTCTGGTCGATCGATCCGCAGATGGGGCGCTGGAGACAGTGCTGTCCACACTCTTCGCGAGCTGCGACTCATCGTTCCCATCTTCGTCGATGTTACCCTGAGATGGATCGCCTTTCTTGAAGAAAAGACCTGAGCGGTCTTTCCACGAGCTGAACTTACTGGAGCTGCCTTTGCGTGTGATCTTCCGGATAAATGACTCTTTCGAGCTGCTGTTATCAGCGGAAGTCGCAGAAGGCACCTGCTCCAAAGATTCATATGAATCTCCGGTAAACACAGTCAGGGAACGAGAGTAGGATTCCTTCGAGGTACGTGGTTCAGACGGAGATCCATCATCCATCAAAAAATCGAAAGAGATATCTGCCCCGTTGTCGTTGGCCTTCTCTTTCTCCTTGTCCTTCTCTGAGCTTCTGCTGAATATAGTCCGGAAGGTGGGGGCAGCGGGATTCAGTTTTGGGGTCACAGGTCGATGGGAAGACGATGGCCGTGTACCAATGGGCGCTTGCAGAGGCCGACCCTGTCGCTCAAAAGAAGAATCTTGGAAATCGGGCTCTCCTGTTAGCCCCAAGGGTAAGTGACCGGAAGAACCAAAGGAAGTGGACTGCCGACGTGAGTGGGCTCTCGACCAAGTGGAAGGTGAAGTCCAGTCAAATCCCAAAGGGCTCCTATGACCGGGCTTTTCTGCTGACGGCCAGCCAAAGTGCTGATTATCTGTGGACGGATGGGGAAGCTGGTTCTCAAATGAGAAAGTCGACGATGGCCTTGGGGATAATGAACCACGTCGGACCGTCCCCAGAATCGAAGACGGGTCTATCGGGTCATGTCGAGGGCTGAACTGATTATACCCAGTGCTCAGGTCGGAATGATCGTTCGATTTCATCAAGCTGCTGCCACTGCCGAAGCCAAATCTGCTGGGCGAGAAGATGCTGGTAAAAGCGGTCCGTCGAGACGGCATGTGATCAGAGGAACTGTCCGTAGTGACACCCGTAGTATTGCTCCTGGGAAACAATGACATTGGATTGGCCCAGTTGCCTGTGTAACTCAAGCGGCGTCGCCTTGCACCGATAGGGTCCATCTCGTCCAGGTTTCGCGGGAATGACTGACTCTGCCCCGGCTTCAAAGTTCCAAGTAATGGCGGCTCATCTGCGAGTGTTTTGCCACGCGGGCGATGGAAGCCAAAGAGACCGGACAGCCGTCGGGAGGCACTTTTCGGAGCCTCCGCGGCATCCCCTAGATGCACCGGCTGAGAGGAAGTCTCTTGATTCTGGCTTTCATGCGGACTGGCAAATGCACTTTCAGGTCGGCTCTGAGGGGAATCCGGGGAGGGCGGACCATGCGGGAAACTTTCGAGCTGGCCGCTCGATTGTTCAACATCCGGCATTTGCGGGCGGGCGATTGGACGTGGAAGCTCAGGTGATTCTTCATCCCCAAGAAGATCGGACGGAAGTAAAGCATCGGCGCGTGGGCTCATTTGAGGATTACTGAATGAGAGCTCGGAAATGGAGTCGGGTTGACTGGCAAGGCCAGGAATCGTCATGCCATTGTTGATATTGAAAAACGCGGGACTAGGC